ATGCATCAAACTCGACTTAAATATTCCTTATTACCTCCATACATTCCTTGGCAATATTTGGTTCAGCATGTATCGTTATCAATAGGATTTCCAATGTCAATTTATTTGTTTTCCAGTTAAAAATTTGCTTACTATCATTTATAATATTCAAAATCGTCATAGAATAAGTATTGTGTAAATATTTTTCATAAAAATATTTATTACTTGTGTTTTTGTAGTCAGCTCCCTTTGAATTTATTAGCGAAATATTTCGCACAAAATTTCATCTCATTCTCCTATATATTATATATTATATATTATATATTTATATTGTTATAAAGTTTAAATAACAATAAAAAGTAAACATTTTTATTAAAAAAATCCATAAATAAAATATTGAAAAATATTACACAATTAAATTGCAATGGGGTAACGCATATTGCAGCATAAATTAATATGGCCACGCACATTACAACTCAAATTACAATATGGCAACACAAATCTTTTTTTCAACCACCATTTTCGAAAACTCGAATCCGCATCTCGCATTTTTTGCGTCTCCCCAAGGTAGATATACAAGGTAGCCGCATCGGCGAATTTCTACAACAAACATCGGTTGTTGTATTTTGATATGTCAAAAATATTTTGCCAAAACAAACAGATTGGCAAGATTTTTTACACAAAATCTTGTAGAAAATGTTAATAAAAGTATTGCCAAAAAAGCTCTTCGAAATTCGGAGATTTTCATTCATAATTTTGTTTCTTAATATTTTTGGTTCAACATTACAACAACATTTTTGACATTTATTTGTCCAACAGCTGGGCCGATGCGGCTACCTTATTAAATATACCTTGCGTCTCCCTATGCATTCAGAATAAGGCGAGAATGTGAAAGCGAAAAATTTTCTACATGCGAGATATCTCCCAACGAATATCCAATAAGGCTGATAGTAACGGCGAAAGCACCCCTCCTTGAGGTGTACCTCTAGTTACCGTTTTCCTGATTTTTGTGTCCCCCACACTTGAATTTATAATTCTGCTGCTAAGCATTTTATCTATCCAATATGTCAGGGTATCAGGAATGCCAACTTCCCTAAGTGAGTTGTTTATGGATTCTCTCAATATAGCCTACCACTTCGTGCAGTGCAGCGTCCACAGAGAGAGGTGGTGTCTATACGACTCCTTATCTCCAGGTCGATCAGTCTTTCGAGAGTCTTGAGGAGAAAGGATGATAGGCTAATGGGTCTATAGTCTTTTGGTGCAGAGTGGCTTGGTTTCCCTGCTTCGGGAATATACGTAACCTTTACCTCGTTCCATAGATCCGGAACATACGAGAGAGTCAGACACGCAGTATAAATCTTCTCAAGGATTGGATAAATACTTGGCGAGGCATATTGAAGCATCGCTGGTAGAACACCATCCGGTCCTGGCGATTTATACGGCTTGAATGTGTTGACCGCCCATCGTATCTTATTTCTGTTAACCACGATCACCGTCGATGGTACCCATGTCTTTGCATCCCGGAAAATGAGTCTCGGCTAGGAGATTTTGAGTCTCAGACCCTGAGTCCGTCCACGCTCCATCCTGCTTCTTAATACTACCGATGGACTTCGGGTCCTTGGATAGTAGTTTTCGAAACCTAGCAGCGTAGTTGATTCCTTCTATCGACTCACAGAAATTTACCCATGACTTTTTCTTCGCGCGTTTTATCTCACTCTTGTATTTATTGAAACTAACTCTATAGGAGTTCCAATCAGTGTCGAGTTTAGACTTATGCGCCCTGTTATACAGTCGTCTGGTCGCTTTCCTGAGCTCACCAAGTTCCTTGGTCCACCACACTGGCCGAGATTTCTTCCCAGGATGTGTGAGCGGACAGGATTCCTTATGGCAACCTAGGAGAACATCCGTTAGATTTTTCACGGCCCCGTTGAGTTCCACAGCTGTTCCTAAGTTTGTGTTAAAAGTCAGCTGGGAGTTCGTTAGCTCCGTGAATTTCTCCCAGTTTGTTCTCCTTGGATTCCGATAAGGCTTATGTCTATCTCCGTCAAAAGAGTACTCGAAAAGAATCTTTAAATGATCCGAGAAGGAACATTCATCAGATAATCCGCTTTGGGGGAAAATTAGGTATTCTGAATTACAGGGAGTAGGAAATTTTGTGCGAAATTTTTCGCTAATAAATTTAAAGGGAGTTGACTACAAAAACATAAGTAATAACTATTTTTATGACAAATATTTACACAATACTTATTCTATGACGATTTAGAATATTATAAATGATAGTAAGCAAATTTTTAACTGGAAAACAACCAATAAAATGCCATTGGAAATCCTATTGATAACGATGCATGCTGAACCAAGAATTGCCAAGAAATGTATGAAGGTAATAAGGAATATTTAGAGTTTGATTTTTGGAGGCGAAATACAGACATTTTGGGTGAGGATCTGTCTCTCAAGAAAAAAATTTTAAAAATTATGGAAAACCCAAATTTGCCTGATGAGCCGCTTAACAGTGAAAAACTTAAATAAAAATTATGAAAGAACAAAAAAAAAATTTTCAAAAACAAATCATAACATAACAGACCACTTTAAGAATTTGGGGAGATAAAATATCGGAATTAAATAAAAAGGCACACAATTATGTAGTGAAATAATAAACTGTGAATTAATTAATTAAATCGTTGTTTTTGCCATCATAAAAAATGGTCTTTTATTTGTAATCTATTGTAGTTGTTGCACCAAATTGCATCAAAACAATGAACAGCTGTTTGACATGCCATATTGTAGGTTGCCATATTTTCAAACTTTAATTTATTTTCTTTTAATTACAAAGCATTTATACAGCGGATTCTTGATATTTCACATTTGTATTGCTATATAGTTTAAATAACAATAAGAAGTAACAATTTTTAATAACAAAAATCAATAAATAATATATTGAAAAATGTTACACAATTAAATTGCAATGGGGCAACACACATTGCAACTTAAATTACAATATGGCCACACACATTGCAACTTAATTTACGATATGGCAACACGAATCTTTTTTTCAACCACCATTTTCGAAAAGTCGAATCTGCATCTCGCATTTTTTGCATCTTCCTATTCATTCAGAATAAGGCGAGAATGTGAAAGCGAAAATTTTTTACATGCGAGATATCTCCCTAGCAAATATCCAGAATAAGGCTGATGGAATTGACATCCAGAATAAGGCTGTATGTCTACTGGTAATTAATATCATTTTGAGGGAATTGGACGAGAAAGGTATCAAAGTTGTAGCCTACGCGGACGACGTGGTGATATTGATCTCCGAAAATTTTCCGTCTACAATCTCTGAGCTTATGCAAAGAGCCTTACTGACGCTGTCACGCTGGCAAAGTACCTCGGCACAATACTGGACTGTCAACTACGATGGAAAAGCAACGTTGAGGAGCGGGCGAAGAGAGGAATGATTGCACTCTATGCATGCAAGAACTCCATTGGGAAAAGCTGGGGGCTAAAACCATCGACTATACACTGGATGTATAACACTGTGGTAAAGCCCATCTTGTCCTATGGCTCTCTTGTTTGGTGGAACTGCCTGAGCCTCAAGTCGACATCCAGTAAATTAGACAAGGTACAAAGAGCCGCCGCGATTTTAGTTACAGGAGCCAGAAAGAGTACGCCACAAACAGCTTTGAATGCAATGCAAGCCTTTGGGCCTCAGCATTAAGTGTCAGGCTGCGCGTAGCGCCCTAAGGCTGCATGAACAAAAACTCTGGCGGAACTGTACCTTTGGGCATAGTAGTGTTCTGAATGAACCAGGTATAGCATTGGACCAACGCGCTAAACTAAGCGACTATATCACCAATCCTTAGATTTGTAGATGCCGTTATTCCTAGTAGGGACGACTGGAAACGAAGTAACCCTCCTCTGGCCTGGCCTTCTATACAGACGGATCCAAGATGGAAGAAGGTACTGGGGCAGGCGTCTACTGTGAAAGGTTAGGCCTTGGGTTGGCCTACAAGCTGGATAGCAACTGTAGTGTTTTCCAAGCTGAAATCTTCGCGATCTGGAAGGCAGCGGAATTGATAAAAAATCTGGATGCTAAGGTCGTTGAACCGGTGACTTTGTGGATAGTCAAGCGGCTCTTAAAGCCATCAAATCTTGTCACATCAAATCCGAAGCCGTCCTCAAGTGTAGAGCAGCTCTGGAAGAACTTAACCATAGCTATCGGTCGTGTTGGGTACCAGGACATTGTGACATCTTGGGTAATGAAAGAGCGGACGAACTAGCTAGACGAGGATCTCAATCCACCGATCTAGAAACTGATGACTCAATGAAACCACCCATATATCTTTTCTATAGGAATTTTGAGATATTCTTTGACGAAACTGCCTGCGAACTTTGGCACAACGAACCTAGATGCAACGTGTCAAGATCCATTTGGCCGACTCTGTCTACCAAAAGAACGCACTCACTATTGAACCTGAGCAAAGCTGAAATTAGAGTGATGACGGGAATCATCACTGGTCACTGCAACATCAGGGCTTTTACTAGCAAATGGGATCTTGATGCAACTGATTACTGTAGACTCTGTGTTGACGAGGAGGAGACGGAGACAGGCTTACAGGCGACACAGACTAATGGATGCTCGTTTCCTACCGGGTCTCAGCTTCTTCTCAACAACCGAACCTGCTCTAATCTACAGCATAATTATAAACATAAAGTGGTTAGGAGCATACAACCTTGGCACGTAACACTTTTTCTGTCTGACTCATAGGGCCATCGACCTTCATTCATTCTTCACTCCTTTAATTTACTAATCTTCTCTGTTCGAAGAGAAGAGACCAAAGACAGATCTGTAGTCTTTGGTCTCTTCTCTTCGAACCTAACCTAGGCAACGTACATCTAATGAATATATATTCTGGAGAACAGCTCTTGATATCAATCATTTTTTTATTGTTCCCACTGTAGAGCTAGGCTTTAAAACCTTGTGTTTGTAATAATTAAATTGTTTCCCAAATCAATATTTTAATATATTAATTCCACATACTAAAACCTTTTATCGATTGTTCCTTAAATCCTCGCACAATTATTTCAGATTCCCACCATCCGGTATTTTCCATATCATTTGCTCTCATATTATTCTTACAGTTGGCCAAGGATGTTACATTATTCTCCAAATAAGGGCTACTATCATCTTCGAATATTTGCATATCTTTACAACATTTCAATATCTGATTTCCTGTGTCAGATTTTCGTTTGTGAACTAAGTGAATTTGAATGTCCTTACAACTTGACGGCGTCGTTGAGAATTCTCTAGGAAATATGTTCGACTTTGTATATGTTGTTGTGTTTGAGAGAGTCATTGGCAGATCAAATAATTCGAATTCTAAATACACATTTGTTGGACTTAATTGTTGAGAAAATATAGAGTAAAGAGATTCATTTGTCAACAAAGATCTGTAAATAGAAATCATAAATCATGGCATTAACAATGTACGCTCTAAATTTCAACACTTGCTTACATTAAAGTCTCATTCAGTTTGTGCGCTCCCATTCTATGCTGCTGCCAGGCGTGACTTGTTGAAACGTTTTTTGTGGGTATATGAATTGTGTATGACTCTTTCGGCGTAAACGACGTACCACCAAACAAAAATCGTATGGATTTAATAGCTGTTCGTTCAAATGTTTCGGCAATTGTCTGCAAATAAAGTCAATTCTTACTTATGGCGACGATGGTGGTAATATTGTACAAACCTCTCGCATTGCACATATAGAATCCTTGGTAGATTTGGCTAGATTTCGTTGACGTTGCACTTGAAAATTCGTTACACTGTCCATTGCCTCCATGTCCTTGTGTTTCTCTTCGTCGTCGGTCCATTTGTTAACATAATATCTGTATGTTTTATACACGAAAGGTATTTGATTCCGCTGATAGAGTAATGATTCCAGAACAGCATTCACAACTTCGGCAACAGTTCCGGTCGTTAGAACATCGACTTCCACAGGCAAATCGAATTCCACCCTACACGACATTATCTAAACAATCGCACGGACGTGTAAAGGAATGTGGAGGTGAATCATAATTTCACATATTTTAATAACATACCGGTGTTTTTTGATGTTTCCCTATTGATCCTTTTTCCTATTCATATGGTTTTGGTGGTTTGTCTAGAAATGGCAAAGCGATTTCTGCGCGCCTTTAGCTGTTACTGAATAACCCAATCTGATTTAAAAACGTTCCACTTGCAAGGAATAAAGGAAGTAAGGAGAAAATGTTTTGTTTACGAAAGTGAATGTTATACATAACGCCGATATCCTCATTTTGTTTAGAAAGAGACATGAACGGTCATGTTAGTTGTAGCGTTTTTGTCACTTTACAGAGTTGTATTGCAACTTACTATACTACACCATTTCTAGAGGTAATTGATAAAAGATATGTCAGCAGTCACACGAGCAAATTTTATGGTAAAGTAAAGCGGTGTACACACTATCATTTTTGACTGTCAACTTTTTTATCGATTACTGACTGTCCAACAACCATAACTATTTTTGTGGTTGCCTGATGAATGACAAACATGTGAGGCCACACTATCAAACAAGCAAAATTTGGGCAAGAGTGCCATTCAAAAATGCTAGAGTGTACACCGCATAAGTCACAAGCTCATAGTACTGGTTACCAAATGTTTTGTTTAAATGTCCCAATATTTAGCCGGGGGAGAAACGTTCGTATTGGCGAAAGAAAACTCTTCTCTATATTTGCTGCAGATTGTAAGAGTTATTTTGCGTGTTGCTCTTGATGAGTAGTTTCTCGAGCTCCCTCGCAAGCGTCCTCGTAGAAATTTGTAATTTGTCTCAGTCGCTTATTAATTTTGGGTTTCGGACCACATTCTCGCTTTAACTACAATCTTCCCTCGTTTTCTACTCGATTTAATACACTGTATATTGTCTTTCGTAAAACTGAAAACATTTCCGACATTCGATCACACTTTTTAATATAAAAACTGAATTACATCATAGGATAACCCTTGGCCTGGCATTTTTTATTTCAAGCTATGTTGCGCACGCTTAAGGCCTAAACAGAATGTTCGCGTTGAGCGTTTTTTGTTATCGCGTTAACGCATGCAAAAAGTTAAAATATATTTAACTCCGAAGCGCAGCGCACAACAACTTCGAGCGTTTGTGTTATCGTTTCCTTGTGGTTGTTGTATTTTCGATAACAAATAACGCGACGGATGGCTCAACGAGAGCATTCTGCTTAGCCCTTTAGCGTTATCGTTTCCTTGTGGTTGTTGTATTTTCGATAACACAAAACGCAACGGATGGCTCAACGCGAGCATTCTGCTTAGCCCTTTAAAGTTTTTGACATCAAATAATTCCCAAAATAAACAAAAAAGGATAAAACATACAAAAGCTAAGGGAAGAGTGCCTTTATCTTTACACAGTGCACACTATAATAAAAAAGCAAGAGATGTGTAAATAGTATTTGACACTGGTGAAATTGAGTCATTTTTGTTTTGTTGTATTTGAACAAATTGCATTCATATTCAGTTTGGTTTTCATTGGGTGCTAAAAAGTCCAACCGGAAGTACAACATTTACTAGTAAGTAATATTTCAGAGAGAAAGCCGTATTTATTCTCTTTTGCAATAATACTGAGAAAAGTAAACAGACAACATCCAGCAAAATTTTGCAAAATATCATATACTTTAAATTCTTGATATTCACTTTTCTACAATTATAAAAGAATAAATTCCATAAAATAAAAAATGTGTTTGGATTTTGGTCATAATTTAAAATTAACGACTGATTGAAATACATCGAGTTGTGCTGGATAAATATTAATAGTTTAAGAGTTTTTTAGACAACGATGCTTTCCATAGAAAACACTGCTTTTAATCTGACCTGAGGAAGTTGTTTGTCTCAAGCAACAAATTTATAATCGGAGGAGGAGCATACGTACTCGGGATGTAAAAGGAGCAATGTCTGGGGTAATATCCACTATGAAAAACTCCAAATTAACCCTGCTACTATGTTAGAAATAAATCACATATATTGTGTTGGGGTCATATTATGACCTACACATTTTGTTGAGAGAGAAATATAGCTGTAGGCCTATTCCGTAACTTTTTAACTACATTCGATATTGTTTATTTCACAACAATTTCATTTCTCCCAATTTAGATTAGGCGAGTTTACTTGCGGAAAGTCTTTGTTTGTAGGAGAGAGGGACAAGGGGAATAGAAGTGAAAAAAATTGCTCGTACCGACAATTTTCTGGCAATTCGTTTTGTGTATTTCGTATTTGTTGACATTTTATATATATTTAAATGTAAAAAAAAACAAATAAGAAAATATTTTGGAAACCGAATTGCCTTGTATAGACGCATGAAGCAAGTTCAAAAGAGAACGATAAAAATTAACGCAAATAAACTCGCCTAATATAAATCAGGACTTTGTTTGTTTTACAATAACAAAAGAAATTTAAACAATATCGATAGTTGTTAAAAGTTACAGAATAAGCCTACTGAAGTAGGTAATAAACAAATAAAAAAGTGTCAGTAGGTATTGTCGACACATGTATACCTTCAGCAAGTAGTATACACTAAACCAGAATTTATTGACTTTTGCAAGCAAGGTATTCTTGGCAGTCTTGATTTCTTTTAGCTTTGCCTCCCAATTTACACAAGTAAAATTTAAATTTTGGCAAAATTAAAGTCCATCAGATGTTATACAGTAGTGGCCACGCAATAAAAACATTAAGTGTGGTAACAAATTTTTATCAGCCCTCGTTTCGTTTGAAGTATTTAAAAAAAATTAATTCATTAATTAGGTTACTGTACAATTTGTTGCCAATTTTAATAGATTTTTTAAAATTGTTTATCTGTAAATGATTTAATCGGTGCTTAGTTTACTTAATTTAAGTGTTCTGAATTAAATTTTTTCAAAAATACTTCAAACGATTCGAGAACTGATCACAAAATGTTTACCACAGTCAATGTTTTAATTACATGACTACCACGGTATAAACGTCCAGAAAGTAAATAATTTGCAAGTTTTGTCTCTATAGCTAACAGCAGTTTAGAATATGAACAAGTTTTTTGTCTTCTTCTCTGATCTGCTTCGTTTCGTAACGTCAAATACAGATACTAGTAAAACATGTGTATCTAAATAGGTACAAAGACATGATCTCCACATTATCTTCTGATCACTGTAAAATAATCAGTGCCATTAGTTATTTATTAGTTGAGGAACTGATTGCTTCTATCTTATTATAAATTAATTGTCCTGAAGATAAAATTTCTTCTTCCTCAAGCTAAAAATTAAGATCAGCGCCATAATTATCCACGCGCATTAGTTTATAATATAAGAGCTCTACAAGACTTCTAAGCATACAATTTTAATAAAATTAAACGAATTCTGCAAATCTCAATGACCAAAATCGTGATGATTAATACGATTTGGGTCATCAAAAGTCCCTAACGTAGTAGCAGGATCCTTTATTTCCATATTCTTCATTCTTTCGTATTTCAAATTGTGTAAATAGTTAATTTTTTGTTTTGTTTTTTAATATTTTTTTATTTATAAAAAAATATTTAAATATTTTTTAATTTATAAAAAAAATATTTAAATATTTTTTAAAACAAAAAGAACGATAAAAGAGAGAGATTCAAAGGGACTATTTGGAGATTCAAAGGCACTATTTGGAGCAAAGGAACTATATGGAGCAAAGGAACTATATTGATCAAAGGAACTATATGGCTGTTGTGTTAACCTACCATAACCCGACAGCGCAAGCGACGGCGTAAAAACGTCGTTATTGAGCGCAGACGTTGGTAGCCCTGGCAGCGTTTGTCATTTTCTTTGTTTGTCATTTTTGACAATTCGTAATTGGCGCACATTGCAAAAAATATCCGAAGGAGCAACACGAACACCAGTCAGAGAAAAGTAAAAAAGTATATAGTGATTGCAGTCATTGCAATAGTAAAAAAAGGTGCATAAAGACAATTTTGCTTAATCGAAATTGTGAATTGCTTATCATTAAGTTTCATTGTGAAGTGTTCAAAACACGTTCAATTTCTTAAGGAAATTTTTCTATTAAGGTGAGCTTTTAAAAAGAATTGTGAAAAAAAATTGCTCGTACCGACAATTTTCTGGCAATTCGTTTTGTGTATTTCGTATTTGTTGACATTTTATATATATTTAAATGTAAAAAAAAAACAAATAAGAAAATATTTTGGAAACCGAATTGCCTTGTATAGACGCATGAAGCAAGTTCAAAAGAGAACGATAAAAATTAACGCAAATAAACTCGCCTACTATAAATCAGGACTTTGTTTCTTTTACAATAACAAAATAAATTTAAACAATATCGATAGTTGTTAAAAGTTACAGAATAAGCCTACTGAAGTAGGTAATAAACAAATAAAAAAGTGTCAGTAGTAGTACGTTTACATTTAACCGGATTTCGTTAACCCAGTGGGTTTCAATTGTCAATTCCTTTGCATATATGTCAAATAAATCCTCATAAAGTAGGTTAACCCGGTAAAAAGTTCTAATGTACACGCCGTTTAGGTATTGTCGACACATGTATACCTTCAGCAAGTAGTATACACTAAACCAGAATTTATTGACTTTTGCAAGCAAGGTATTCTTGGCAGTCTTGATTTCTTTTAGCTTTGCCTCCCAATTTACACAAGTAAAATTGAAATTTTGGCAAAATTAAAGTCCATCAGATGTTATACAGTAGTGGCCACGCAATAAAAACATTAAGTGTGGTAACAAATTTTTATCAGCCCTCGTTTCGTTTGAAGTATTTAAAAAAAAATTAATTCATTAATTAGGTTACTGTACAATTTGTTGCCAATTTTAATAGATTTTTTAAAATTGTTTATCTGTAAATGATTTAATCGGTGCTTAGTTTACTTAATTTAAGTGTTCTGAATTAAATTTTTTCAAAAATACTTCAAACGATTCGAGAACTGATCACAAAATGTTTACCACAGTCAATGTTTTAATTACATGACTACCACGGTAT